TACTCACAGGTCAACCGCGAACGACAGGTAACCAAGCTTGCTTTACTAAGAGTGGATTTGTTACTTACACTACACCTTACACGTTTGATGTTTTAACACTTGAAGTTTTATTAGCTTTTAAAAAGTTATATTTCTATATCTAGCAAGTGGTTAAATTAAAGGATAAAATAAATTAATCAAATAAATAACTAAAAGGAAAGTAAAAAATGAAAATAATTAAACCACAAAAATTTGTTAACGTGAGTAACGAAATAACACTAATAATTGAGGATCGAGAGAAGAGGATACTTTACTTACATTCATTTAACGTCTCACAAAGCACAAATTGTGTTAACTGTCTTCTTTAAATTAATATTTAACCAATGGAGTTGCAAATGCCATAAGGCTGCTAAAACCAAAGGCTCTTAAGTCCGTCATAAAGCGAATATCTAGCAATATTATTAATGCATTTACAACTCCTATAATCAAACAACATTCATTACCTAAATGTTTTAAAACACTAAGTAAATAATTTTAACAATATTACCATTGCATAACCAACCTCACATTCATCCGACTAACTAGGAATGGGTCCGTCGGCCGCGCTCCATCGTCTCTCTCAATACTGAGATGACCGACACGCACTCAGTCACGGAGGTCACCGATGCAACGCATGCAAGGATGTTCCACATCAAGGTAGCAACAATAAGTTCTCACTTTGGTTATGGTGATGGCATGAAAAGTGTTAAGAGCGTTATTTAGCCCGAATGGCAAAATTCCTTTTAAGTTTTGTAACTTTATTTTTGTATTCCATATCTATTCTTTGTGTATTTTCTTTCCTAGTATATACAATCATGTAATTTGTTGCTTTATTATATTTTCGTAGAATTTTCTGTCTAGCAGCAATTACGGATTACTTTAAGCTATAAAGTGATTACAATTGGATATATTTCAGAAACCTCCTCCTCCACCACCAATGATGACCGAACGACTGGAGACAGAGGAGCAGGAATTGACCATGGAAAGCCTTGAACCCATACCGGCTGCCCCAATAGTACCCGCAAGGTAAAGAAGATGTAAAAGAATCCCTTGGTACTTAGAATTTACTTGTTTAAAATTTTTTGTAACCATTATGTTGATTTTATAGGAAGCCAGAAATAACATCACACGTAGTTGATGACGTCTTCCTTCGAACGATCACCGAGAAGAAGACTATAGAAGACATCGAGCGTCACAAACGTTTGGTGACGGAGTACCGCCAGGTGCCGGCGCCGCCGCCACAGTTCGACGTCACTATAAGAAATCACACACTGCCCGAAGCACAGTGGGAGAACTTCTCCGATATAAGCAGTGCGTCAGGAATGACTTTAACACCGAAGATGGAAAGAGTTCCATTATCACTGCCGCCACAGAAGTACATTGGTTAGTAACAGAGACAGGAAGTAAAAGATATAACACTAATTAGTAGTGGAGATGTTTGCTTATTAAATTAACGTATTTATTTTTAACAGGTAAAGGTGGCCCAGACCTCTTCTCCCCTGAGCTGATCAAGCAAACCGGAAAAGTATATCAGCCATCGTCCCCCGACCTTCCTCTGCTACCTGAGCTACCACCAGCTCGTAACCCGCTTTACAGAGAGGAAGACGATGAGGATGTGCCTGATCCTACTCCAGCGCCACCTGTACCTACCAACTGGACTGTTCTCACCAGGGTATTGAAGACTGAAGCTCAAGATGAGGTTAGTGTAGAGAAATTATACTGTAACTAGTTTTCGCCCGTGACTCTGTCCACGTGAATTAAAAAAAAACAATAGTTAGTAGCAATTGTGTCCTTCCAGACTATGCTCTATATCTATGCAAAAATTCATCGAGATCCGTTTAGCAGTTTAGGCTACAAACTCTAACAAACATCCATCCATCCATCTAAACTTTTGCATTTATAATATTAGTAAGAAGTAAGATTGTAGGCTGTGACATGTGTGCACAGGTTCCCTATTTTTATCTTGTTATAGATACTAGCAGAATCAGAGCGCTCTTACCGGCTGACTCGCGAGGAGCGTCTCCGTTGGCGCGAGCTGATCACACACGAGAGCACGCTGCGGCGGGAGCTG